TTCTAATGTTTCATTTATTTTGTCATTTTGTTCTTGTATTTTCTTCCAAAATTCTTCTAGGGTTTTGTCTGTGTTTTCCTTGATCTGTCTCTCAGTCCATTGAAGATACCTAAATATAATTCTTCTGAATTCATCATCAGAGAGTTCCAATGCTGCTTCTTCCTCAGGGATGTGTTCTGGGTCTGTATCCTGCTACCTTGTTTCTATCACTTTATCTTGCTTCTTTGTGTGGACTGTGATGATCTGTTGTCTCTGAGACATCTTGGCATTGTTATATTTAGATCTCTGTTAACTGTTTGTGAAGAATAGCCAAGGGTGATTCAGACTGTACTTGGTGCTTCTTTTTCGTTGACCCATTGGTGGAAAAGGAAGTGGTGGCTCTCACTCAGTACATGAAGCTGCAGGAGGTGTGGGTGTAGTTATGTTGGATGGGGATGTTGCTGTCCTCCACTCAGACCAAAATAACAATTGAATAATCATCAAAAAAGTAAAAGCAAATGGACAAAACACACACTGTGTAATCACACAGGAACAGTAACCAAAGAAAGGAAAAAGAAAAAAAACTAAAAACCAGTATCTGGGGAAAGGGCTATAAGAGAAAACAAATGTAGAGAAGGAGAATAATGAAGAGAAAATTGAGCAAAATGCAAAAGAAAAACAAGGAACAGGGATAACAATGAGAAAGAAAAAAAAATTTGCAACCAGGAACAAGAAAAAGAAAAAAAGCTGAAAAGTAGAACCTGGGAGGGGAATAATAAAGAATAATAGTAAAAAGGACAATAATAATAATAATAATAGCAGTTTTAAAACAGACAAAAACAAACCAAAAAAGAGGAAAAAAAAAGTGGGGCAGGGCACCCAGGCTCTGTCCAAGCACACAGACTGGAAAGGAAATCCTGCCGGCCCAGAAGGTGGGTGGGGGTCAGGGATGGCTGCACCTCTGTTCACCAAGAGGGTGTGGGGTATAAGAGTAACAAGGGGAATGTCGCACCTTTCCAATTGTCCGAATATGGAATGTCCTTGCGGTTCCCGCCATGTGGAGGCTGTTCTCAAGTCCCTGGACTCTGGGAGAATGCTGTCACTTTAAATATCCAAAATGGTCAAACCACTTGTAAACATTCAAAATGGCCGCACCCTCTGGACAGGTAAAAATCCACAGGCCAACCCGCCTTCCTCGCCGCTCCTTCCCCTTTTATTCCCCAGCCACCAGAGCAGTCCTCCATGCAGTCTCTGGCTAGCAGGTTGATTTTTAGGTTAGTTCTTAGGTCCTAACACCACTTGGCAATATCCAAGCTGTCTGTGCCATCAGGATCACTGAAAGACCGCAGCTCCGTATGTCTCCTTTTTTGGTGTTTTCATGCAAATCCTTCTGCTAGTTGGAGTTTAGTCCACTTCTGTATCCTTCCCTTCAAGGTTCAGGGGTCCAGGATTATCTTCTGTATCTGTGTTAATTAGCTCCCCTTTTCCTTGTTGAAGAGGGTCTGTGCAGTCTTTTTGCCTATTCCATCATCTTACTGGAACTAGCTTGGCAATTCTTTCAGTGCAGCTTCAACTTCTTCCTTCAGTACCTTAGGTTCTTTAACATATGCCACCTCCTGAAATGGATGAAGATCAACCAGTTCTTTTTGGTACAGTGACTCTGTGTATTCCTTCCATCTTCTTTGATGCTTCCTGCATCATTCAGTATTTTGCCCATAGAATCTTTCAATATTGCAACTTGAGGCTTAAATTTTTCCTCAGTTTTTCATCTTGAGAAATGCCAAGCATGATCTTCCCTTTTGGATTTCTAACTCCAGGTCTTTGCACATTTCATTATAGTAATTGGCTTTGTCTGCTCGAGCTGCTCTTTGAAATTTTCTGTTCAGCTCTTTTATCTTGTCATTTCTTCCATTTTCTTTAGCTACTCTTTGTTCAAGGGCAAGTTTCAGAGTCTCTTCTGACATCCATTTTGGTCTTTTCTCTTTCTCGTATTTTTAATGACTTCTTGCTTTCTTCATGGATGACGCTCTTGGTCATTGATCTTCAATGCATCAAATCTATTCTTTAGATGGTCTCTAAATTCAGGAGGGATATATTCAAGGTCATATTTTGGCTCTTGTGGACTTGTTTTAATTGTCTTCAACTTCAAGTTGAACTTGCATGAGAGCAGTTGATGGTCTGTTCCACAATCAGCTTCTGGGCTTGTTTTGGCTGAAGGTACTGAGCTTTTCCATCTCTTCTTGCCACAGATATAGTCAATCTCATTCCTGTGTACTCCATCTGGCAAAGTCCACATGTATAGCCACCGTTTGTGGTTGTGTTGTTGAAAAAGTATTTATAATGAATAAGTCATTGGTCTTGCAAAATTCTGTCATACGATCTTCAGTGTTATTTCTGTTACCAAGGCCAAATTTTCCAACTACCGGTGATTCTTCTTTGTTTCCAACTTTTGCATTCCAGTCATCAGTGATAGGCAACACATCTTGACTGCATGTTCAGTCAATTTCAGACTGCAGAGTTTCATAAAAATCTTCAATTTCCTCATCTTTGGCTTTGGTGGTTGGTGCATAAATTTGAATAGTAGTAGTATTAATGGGTCTTCCTTGTAGGCATATGGATATTATTCTATCACCGACAGCATTGTACTTCAGGACAGATCTTGAAACATCCTTTGTGATAATGAATGCCATGCCATTCCTCTTCTGTCGTTCCTGGCATAGTAGTACCACACATGAGTACTACAGGCATTACACAAAACAAGCGTAACTTATGAGCCATAGAGATTTTTGTTTTGTTTCACAATCCCTTTAAGTTAGTTCTGTAAAACTATTTCTTTCCCTTTTCCTATGATCTAAGCCACAGAAGAAATTTAGAGTGTTTCCTGTGGCTTTTTTGGTCACTTTTAAGTAAGAAGTCTTATAGTCACTAAGTTGTAAGAAGACCTCCAGTTCAGTAATTAACATATCTTGCTCAGTGTAATAAATAAAAACATAAAACTTCATTTACAGGTAAAATTTCTACCTCTCTAACAAGCAGTAACCTGCTACAGACTGACCATTTGCAGTAGAAAAGAGGGGCATGGTTGGCTGCTCTTTTTTTTCCCACATGATGCTTTTCCCCCAGCTCACTGACCAAGATTTCTGGCCTTCTAGGGTCAGGGTTAAGTGGACAAAAGAGAGATAAGGGAAGCAGGAAAGTTACCTGGTAACTAAAATCATAGTGTTTTTTGCCCTGACGTTGTCTGTCAGTTATTTAAAATTACTCTGAATCTCTCATGGGTACTTCCTGAGGTTCTTCATGTACCTCTCTCCACCCACCTGAGATTTCTCACCTATTCTATGAAAAATAATATACTAGCTGGCTGGACACTTAGGTCTTTCCCTTTGGTCCCAGCTTCTTAGTAGCCCTCCTCCAGGGACTCTCTGTATTGGGATCCCATCATCTTCCAGAAGGCCCACTTTGGGCAAAGTGCCATTAGATAGATTGAGACCAAAACTATCTCACAAGCATGTGTGCTCACCTCTGGTCCATAGGAAACACATCTCCACTCCATTGTCATCAAGACAGTTACTTCCAAAACCATACCACTAATTCAGCTGCAAGCTTCTTTAGCTAGCAAATCAGACACCAGGACACTGTCTTCCAAACAGAGGACAATATATAAAGCTTTCTGAGTGGGCTGGAAAAGTACTTTATCAATGGGCTTGAGATGAGGGCAGTCTTCTCTACCTCCTTCATTTATGGAATAGGATTCTGGAACTCTAATAGCTGTCTGCAAAAATCCTCTCTAATCTCTATCAACCTAACTCTTTTTTAAGAGCCACCTCACTCTCCCATCCACCACTGTTTGCAAATCTCACATGATGGTCTCACACCACACAGCACCTTGGAGCCTATGCCAATCCGAAACTAAAGGAATTCTATTTCCACATCCTATTACGACAGCATAACCTGAGGCCTGGCAATGAGTCACAACATTCAAAAATGTCACAAAACCTACAAAGAGACATAAATTTGATAACTGATAGGAAGGAAAACTGATTTAAGTTTGATGGAAAATAAAAATTAAAGCTACCAATTGCTCAAAATACTTCTTTTTCTCACTGGGAATGAGTCATCCATGCATCTCAATTCACCTGAAGATTTAATGGATGCAGCATACATTTTTTGAAGGCAATAAAGAGAGTAAGAAGTGGTTCCTGCCTTCTAAGGGCATAGCATATAGTAGAGTTGTTCTTAGCCAGAAGTGTGCAGTCATCCAAGGAGCTTTTTAGCCCAGGTAACATCCCAGACTCACCAAAGCTGAGTGTCAATATATTGGACCAGAGCGTGTGTGATTTCAAAAAAGGTTTTGAAGTGATTTTGTCAGTTTGAAGGATGGAGTACACATACATGAGAACTATATTAAAAGTTTGAATAAATTCTTAAGAAAGGAAGGAAGGCAGATAATTCTAAGTGAATTTAGGGAACCACTATAGCCAAAATCTTCAGACCTCAATTATTAGTATCTTCCTAGGACTACTTCCATATAGGAGAGTGGTTTTTAATCCTTTTGTGAATTGCAGACTCCTCTGCCAATCCGATGAAAACTATGGTGCTCTCCCTAAGAAAAATGCTTATATCCACATGTATACAAATTTATACATACACTTTCAGGGAATCCGTGGGCTTCCTGAAGTTTATCCATGGCTTTCCCACAAAGAAGTCCACAGGTATGTTAAGAACCTCTGCCACAGCCTTGAGCCACCACCACTCACCACCACCCACCATAAAAGCTTCCTTACTTGTTTCTCAAAACTATTCAGCTCCATGCAAAACAATCTACAGAGCAGAAAAGTAAATACACTCACCATACTAATGAAGGCTGGATTATTTATCAAGCTGGCCATGTCAAAGCTCAATCCAGTTCCTGTCTGTAAAACAATCCTACCTGAGAATCATTCCAACCACTACAAATGAATTACAATAAATTATGAATGATAGAAAATATTGCACTTATTTGACATTCATAACTTACAGGGCTGGATACCTCTCTTAACTTCTGTTCTGCTATTTTTAGATTTGACTTATAGGAATCATTTTCAGGATCAAGATCCAATGCCTTTTGATAACTTGTAACCGCTTCTTCAAATTTATTCATGGCAGTGAGCGCTAGCCTGCAGAGAATAAAGAATATAAGAGTATAACATATATGACTGAAGAGCATCAGAACATTACAAATGTAGCCAAACACTATCTTGGCATTCAGTTTTAATTCAGAATACATCTAACTTATTCATTATACTGTGGTTCACAGGAATGCATCACTGGGAACAAACAAATACATAGGCCTCTAATTCTAAAAATCTCTGAGTCTGCACTCTTTCCATTCTGCTTTTGGACAACTTTGGCTATCCTAGAAGAATCCTGTGGTGATTATGTTTGTGTGTCAACTTGGCTGGGCCTGGTTGAGTGGCTGGGCAGCTGGTGGTAGTTATTTCCCATAATGAGATTGGCAATCAACTCCATGGTGGGATCTACCATAAGCAGCTGAGTAGCTGCCTTTGGGATGTGGTCTGCTTCCTATATAGAAGGAGAAGCCTTGGGGATAGTCTCTAGCTTATAGCATGCTTGGACCCTGCAGGTAGCCATGTTGTCGTTCAGCAGCCTGCCATGCTCTGCTGACCTTGGGACTTACAATGGACTTGAATTAATGGCCTGCCACGTGGTTTGGTAACATTGGGACTGTGCCATTTTATTTGTTAACCTTGGGCTTGTTAGCCTCAGCAGCTAGTAGTTGCCTGAATAAAGAGATCCCTCTATCTTCAGTGGACCGGGAGCAAGAGGCAGAGCTGAAGCCCAAGTTTGAGGGGCTTTCACACAGCCCCTGGAGCCCGGCACATTGAACTCAGACTTCTAGCCTCCTGAACTGTAAGAGAATAAACTCCTGTTTGTTAAGGCTATCCCATTTGTGGTATATTCTTGTCAGAGCGGCACTAGGTAACCAAAACAAATCCTGAACTTTATGTTTAGAGATGACCCTTGTCTACCCCTACATTTTGACACCCAAAACATGAAAACAGTTTGCTTATGAAGGCCTACATTAAGCTCCACAAAGATGTGAACTAATAATCCTATGGTCATATAATTCCATGTTAAAAAGCATTTTAAAGTCTCTGAACTATATTTGTGCATTAGAATGTCTCATTTTCTTCTGTTTTCCTGACAGAGTCTTTGAGCCCTGACAAATATCAATTCGCAAAAAAAAAAAAAAAAGTGGGGGTTGTCTATTGTTTATCAGCTTAACTATTCTTGAATAAGAAATTTTAGTTGTTAGATAGTTAAAATTAACATCTTTTACAACACAAATAGCACAGATTATTATCCCAGGCACATGTCAAAGTGTTAGTTACTAAATTTTAATGTCTACCTACACCTACACCTACACCTAAACCCAAACTCACTGCCATCAAGTCGGATCCAACTCATAGCGACCCCTTCTTGGGTTTCCAAGGTGGAATCACTATGGAATAGATTGCCCAAGTTAGAATTTATTTATTGGACAGTTACATCAGAACTAAATAACATAATGGCCAACAGTATCTATGGAGAGAGAATTCTGGTGGTTTTTTGTTCTAGATTTGATTTTCAACAAATTATACCAATTCTTTCTTACTGATTTACCTCACAGTTTTCTGATCTGAATAAAATGCAGTGCCTAACCACAGAAAATTTCTCAAAACTAATTTGTTTTCTATTAGTCAACTGTGAAAGATACTTCATCAGAGTCCCCTGTTAATCAAAATCAATCAATAAGTATTTATGGAAACCCTACATTGTACTAGGCAATATTTTAGACACTGAGGATTCCACGGTGAAAAAGATAAAGTTCCTGACTTTAGGCAACTTACATTCTACCTAAGGAAGACAGGCAATAAACTGCAAATTAAAAAGGGTAATATTAAAAAGAATGAATAGGGGAGCTGCTCAAGGGCAGCCACATTGAAAAGGTGACAACTGAGATGAGATCTGAATGATGAGAAGAAAGCAGTCATATGAAAATTCAGAGGCAAGAGTAAACACAAAGTCCTTGAAAAAGATGGAGGTATGGTCTGCTTAATGTATAGGACAAAAAGCTCATAAAGAGGGAGTACAGAAAACAAAGTGTGAAAAGTGAGAACATCAGAGAGTAGTCAGGTGCCAAATCATATAGGACCATGGTACAGAGCTTGGATTTTACTCTGTTTGCAATGGAGTGCCGTGATCTGATCTACGCTTTAGAAAGCTCACCCTGGTTTATCTTTATAGGAAAGACATGGGCAAGGGTTGGAGTAGAGGCAGGGAGACCAGGTAAGAGACTATTGTAGTAGTCCTCGGAAAGAAGACCAGGCTATCTACTTCCATAGTGATACCGCCTTGGAAACCCAAGGAGGGGTTGCTATGAGTTGGATCCAACTCGATGGCAGTGAGTAGTAGTAGTGACATGAGAGGTGGTGGTTTGGGCTAGGGTTATTATAAGCAAGATATTGATCAATGTTTGGACTCAAGATAGAGAAATAGAATTGATAGGACTTGCTGAGGGATGTACTGAGTAATATGAATACAAAACTGAGCACTGTTCTTAGCAAAATATAGACAACTGGTGACCCTGAAGAAAGCTACTCTCAGTAGAGTGATACAGACCAAAGCTCTATTGGAGTGAGCCAAAGAAAGGATGAGAGATGATAAGATGAGACAGTGAGTACAGGCAACCTGCACAGAAAGAGGAACTGAGAAATAAGGTAATAACTGGAGGAAAACATGTGGTAAAAAAGGGTTCAGATGGATGATTTTTATAGCCTTTTCACTTGTCAGGTATCATCATCTCTTACAGATAGGAAAACTGGTGCTGTAGAAGATAAAGATAAGTACAAGTTTAAGTTCTGAAGGAGTTAAGTACAAAGGGATAAGATCTAAAGCATGAGTTGTTGGAATGGTCTTAGATAAGAACCCTTTTCATTTTAATTGGGAAAATGGCAGTCCATGTATATGCAAAGAAAGAAAGATTTAGAAGTAGAAAGATGACTTTTTTCTTTTAAAAACATTTTTTAAATTAAGTATGAGGTAACAACAAATTAGAGTCACTATGGATGATGGGATACTAGAAATTTGAAAAGAGAAGGGAAGGTGTGAAATACCTCAGAGAATATAGGGTCTCTGTTTAGAAGAAATTTAGAAGGAAGTATAAAAGGATTTTGGAACTCTGGTGGCAGAGTCATTAAAGTATTCTGCTGCTAACCAAAAGCTTGGCAGTTCGAACCCACCAGTTGCTCCATGGAAGAAAGATGAGGCAGTGTGCTTCCGTATAGATTTACAGCCTTGGAAACCCTCTGGGCAGTTCTACTCTGTGCTATAGGGTTGCTATGATTCATAATTGACTCTAAGGCAGTGGGTATAAAAGGATTGTCGATAATGAGTGCTTATTTGATATATGTGGTCATGAACAGGAAGCGAGTCTCCTTAGTGTGGTGGTGTAATTTTTTCCAGCAACTAACCATTTATCATACAACTAAATCATCTCACTTCTAAGTCATGGAAATTTGTAGTCACTACCACCTTTATGTTATATTTAAGTTCTTTTTAGTTCAAAAGGTATAATATTAAGTAGGAAAGTAAGAACCAACTCACGAAGAAGAGGAAATCTGGTATTACTTGTGACTATTTTGAACATCCTCCCAGAACTTACCCCATTCTCCCATAGGCCTTGCTGTACTTTGAATCAATTGTTATTGCTTTTTCACAATCCTTTATTGCATCTGTGTAGTGACCTAATTTACTTTGAGCAGCAGCCCTAAAAGAAAGAAAAGAGATTTTTATTAGCATATTTTCCTTTTCCCAATTTGGAAATCAATCCCAGTAAGTCTCTAAATCAAGCTAAGAAAAATCGATAATCAAACCAAAAAGAAACCCACATGCTTCTGTTCAGAGAAAATATACAGACTGCCTTTCACTATTTGCTATGCTATAGAAAAGATAAATATGCAAATTATCTACCTACTAACTGCCTTTCTAATTTGCCCAAACTGAAAATGCTAGGCCATCTAGGGTCACTTGGGAGACACACTGAGTTATGCTGTGAATGGCTACACAGTGCTGTGCTGCTGTACTTTACCAGCGGGGTTAAAGTGCAAATAAAGGAATATTCGAGTCCGCTGGCACTTGAATGAATATTCACCTCTGTGGCAGACTTAACTTTTTTTAATCCTTTCAGTCTCTTAGAAGTTCTCATAATCTTGTCCCTCAGCAAAAGGTCCAAAAACCCAACTTTGGAAAAACAACATTTGCATAGACAGATCCTGTAACTGTGACCTACTCTTAATAATGTTTCCAAGTAGAGAGAATTAATCCAGAGAAGAAACAGGAAAGGAAACAGCAGAAGCTCTAAGATGAATGCTAAGAAAGACAATGTGGGGAGCCAACAGCCAAGAAACAGTAGCTACATAAGCAACTGTTGTCAACTCTCTTGCATTAGGCATGAGGGACAGCATGTGGTCACCACATGCTGTCATCACTTATTAGTTTTCTCACAACTACAAAGGAGAATACTCTGCTGAGGCCTTCTGCCTCAAACACTTCCAAGACAAACTAGCAGCAGGTAAGAATGACGACTGAAAGAAGAGATATAAAATGTGTAACTTCCAAATAATTAGAGGGAAAAAAAATGAAGTAAAATTCAACTAATCCAACAGAAAGTGAAAAAGAGGATGTGGGGAGAGAGAAAAGAAGCAAAAACAGGGAAAAAAAATTGTTATATATTGTTGTTGTTGTTGTTGTTATGTGCCGTCGAGTCAGCCCTGACTCATAGCGACCCCTCCTTGGGTTTCCGAGGCAGTATCACTACGGAAGTAGGATTGCCCAACCTTCCTTCCGAGGAGTGGCTGGTGGGTTTGAACCGCCAGCCTTCTGGTTAGCAGTCAAGTGCCTTAGCCACTATGCTACCAGAGCTCCTCGTTATATATTAGTGATCATAAAATTGCCTGAACAAAAACTGAGATTCTCAAACTGGATACATAATTATGCACAAATTGGAAGTTAAAGGAATAGAAAAAGACAGTCAGGCAAACTGAAAACCAAGCAAAAACTAGAAATAAAAAAGTTAGTGTAGAATCATTAATATCATAGGTAAAACAACGAGCCTTATACAGGATAGAGTCACTATTTTTTATCCTTTTTAATTAAATTTTTTTTTTTTAATATGTGACACTTAACATGGCTCAGAAATCAAACCTATATTAAAAGTCTCACTCTCAACCTCTAGGGGATAAGAATGAGAGTAAGACTTCAAAAAGAATGAAAAGCAAATCTTAAAACCAAATAAATACATGAGATCCTAAAGTATATGAAATAAAAAAAAATTCAAGTAACTTCAAGTACCATGTTTTGAGTATATATCCTTAGTGAGATGTATTCTGAGGACAAAAAAGATTGGAGAAAGAGAAACTTGTAGTTTACTTAGTAGGTTTGTTGGTAGTGCAACATTGGTGTTATATTATCAATTGAAGTATAGAACAAAAGAGTAAATACAGTGGTGTGACTGGAAAGCAGGTTTTTTCAGTCTGAGAGAAGGGAGATACAAATATGAAAGGGGGAAGGTAAGGGAGAGAGCTCTATGCCAATGGAATTTCGGTTAAAGAGTGGTTAAACTGCTCAACTCCTAACAGAAAGGTCAGCAGTTCAAACCTACCAGCTGTTCTCTGGAATAAAGATGTGTTAGTCTGCTGCCATAAAGATTCACAGCCTTGGAAACCCTATGGGGCAGTTCTACTCTGTCCTATAGGGTTGCTGTGAGTCAGAATCAACTTGACGGTAATGGGTTTGGCTTGGGTTGTTCTATTGATAGAGCCCGGTAACAACAATCACATCTTGAGATCAGAGCTTGGTTTCTAAATACCATTCTCCACTAAATGGAACCAGGGCTCCTTGGAGAAATGGTTGAGCTGGGTCTCAGGCTGGAGAAATATAATGTGAATCTGGAATATCTTGTCTCAGAAAGCAACAGTGTTTAAGGCAAATGAAGTTATATAAAAGGACACAGGATCACTTTGAAGGGGATCCTACTAGCCAAATACAGGATAACCTAAGGGTCAAAAATAATTATGATAGTTGATTATAACACACTGAATTGTTATTGTTAGCTGGCATGGAATTGGCCGCCAACCCATGATGACCCCATGTACAACAGAACAGAATACTGCCTGATCAGTCCTACGCCATTATAATTGGCTACAGATCTGACTATCGTAATCAGTAGAGATTTCACTGGCTGATTTCTGGAAACACATCACCAGGCCTTTCTTCCTAGACTACACTAGTCTGGAAACTCTGCTGAAACCTATTCAGTGTCATAGTGACACACAAGCCTCCACCAACAGACAGGTCATCACTGCACTTGAGGTACAATGGCCAGGAATCAAACCCAGGTCTTTCATATGGAAGGCAAGATTTCTACCACTTAGAAAATTAAGGCATTAGCCATCAATGCCTTGTTAATTTAAAAAATGCACGAGTCTATGTTGTTACTGTTTTCTATGCTATCAAGTTGATTCTGATTCATAGAGATCCTATATGGCAGAGTAGAACTTCCCCATAGGATTTCCTAGGTTGTAAATCTTTATGGGAGCAGATCATCAGGTCTCTTCTCCCATGGAGCCGCTGGTGAGTTTGAACCACTGGGTTTTACCATTGGGTCAAAGATTGTTAGGGAATAGGATATCCACATGGTCTGACCTCATAAATTATTTATTAATTACAAAAGTAATAATAGATCTGGTGATCACCACCTTTACAAGTTAGCAGCCAAGTGAGTCCACAGTAATACTACAAAAGGCGAGGAAGGGGAGGAGGGAGAAAGAAGAAAAAGATGGGAAGGGAGGAAAGCTCTTCTTAATAGAAAAATGAGAAAATATAGAGAGAAGGAACAATAAAGTCAGAAGTCACCATATTGCAACTCTTGATGTATTCAGGGAGGGATCATGAATGGATGATTAATCCACTGGGTCAAATACTGCTCTTGTTGTTGTTAGGTGCCATCAAGTCATTTCCGACTCAGTGAACCACTGCACAGCAGAATGAAACACTGCCCGATCCCACGCCAGCTCCATGATCCCTGCTATACTTGAGCCCATCATTGCAGCCACCGTCTCAATCCATCTCATTGAAGGCCTCCCCCTCTTTCATCGACCCTCCACCCTACCAAGCATGACATCCTTCTCCAGGGAATGGTCCCTTCTGACAACATGACCAAAATAGGTGAGACAAAATCTGGCCATTCTCGCTTCCAAGGAGCATTTTGGGTGCACTTCCTCCAGGACAGATCTGTTAGTTCTTTTAGCAGTCCATGTACTTTCAGCATTCTTCGCCAGCACCACAACTCAAAAGCATCAACTCTTCTTCGGTCTTCCTTATTCACTGTCCAGCTCTCACATGCATACAAGGTGACTGGAGATATCATGGCTTCTGTCAGGCGCACCTTGTCCTCAAGGAGACATCCTTGCTCCTTAGTACTTGAAACACTTCCTTCGCGGTTGACCTTCCCAATGCTACACATCGTCTAATGTCCTGACGGCTACTTGCACTGGCATCAACTGCAGAACCAAGCAATGTGAATTATTTAACAACCTCAATCTTCTCTCCATTTATTGTGATGCTGCTCATTGGTCCAGTTGTGAGGATTTTTGTTTTCTTTATACTGAGACGTAATCCATACTGCAGACTGTATTCTTCAACCTTCAGCAGTAAGTGCCTCAACTCATCCTCACTTTCAGCAAGCAAACTTGTATCATCTGCATATCTCAGGTTGTTAATGATTCTTCCTCCAATCCTGATACCACGTTTTTCTTCATATAGTCCAGCTTCTCGGATTATTTGCTCAGCATATAGATTGAATAAGTGTGCGGACACACTCCCTTCCTGACTTTAAACCATGTAGTGTCCCCTTGTTCCATTCGAACGACAGCTCCTGGTCAGTGTACAGGTTCCTCATGAGTACAATCAAGTGCTCGGGAATTCCTTCTTCTCAATGTTATCCATAATTTCTCATGATCCACACAATCAAATGCCTTTGCATAGTCAATAAAACACAAGTAAACATCTTTCTGGTATTCTTTGCCTTGAGCCAAGATCCATCTGACAACAGCTATGATATCCCTTGTTCCACATCCTCTTCTGAATCCAGCTTGCACCTCTGGAAGTTCTCTGTCAATATACTGCTGCAAACATTTTTGAATTATCTTCAGTAAGATCTTATTTGCGTGCGATATTAATGATACTGTTCTATAATTTCCACATTCTGTGGGATCACCTTTCTTTGGAATAGGTACAAATATAGATCTCTTCCAGTCAGTTGGCCAGGTAGCTGTCTTCCAGATCTCTTGGCATAACTGAGTGAGTGCCTCCAATGGGGCATCGGCTTGTTGAAATGTCTCAACTGGTATTCCGTCAATTTCCGGAGCCTTGTTTTTCGCCAATTCCTTCATTGCAGCTTTGACTTCCTCCTTCAGTACTATTGGTTCTAGATCATATGCCACTTCCTGAAATGGATGAAGATCGACCAGTTCTTTATGGTACAGTGACTCTGTGTATTCCTGCCATCTTCTTTTGATGTTTCCTGCATCATTCAATATTTTGCCCATAGAATATCTCAGTATTGCAACTTGATGCTTATATTTTTTTCTTCAATTCTTTCAGCTTGAGACATGCCAAGTGTGTTCTTCCCTTTTGGTTTTCAGACTCCAGGTCTTTGCACATTTCATTATAGTAATTGGTTTTGTCTGCTAAAGCTGCTCTTTGAAA